GCTGGCTGCTGCATCACCTGTGTGAGGGGAGGGGAGGGGACCTCCCAAAAGACAGAAAGGTGTGAGACTGCCCGACACCAAAGCCCGCTTGCATCAGGGGATGTGACATTTTAGGCATGTGGTGCAGAGTATGACAAGTATATTGGTGCCCCACCCCCCACCTCAAGGAAAAATTAGGTCCAATTACCTTTATTTACTCACCCCACCCCCAACATCAATTGAGAGCAGGTGCAACAGACACAAACACAAAGAAATTAATGACACTGGCTGCATTACAAAAGTCACGAATGCACTTGTGCACACACAGTCCTGTTGAGGGAATAGATTTTCCGACTGTGTGTGTGTGTCCCATTGGTGGTATAGTGTTGTTGATTGCTTGCAGATCTCAGCCTGCATTATTAACCAACACTGCACACTGGAGGCCATTTTGGTCACACTTGGGGTGTTTCTGCACTCATATTGCACTCACCCCATTTATAGCTTCCTAATTGATTAGCAGCACGACATAAGATCTATGACAGGCCTTCTCTGAATGCCAAAACACACACACACACACACCCTGTGAGTCAGCTGACGGTTGGTCTTGTGTGTAGTGTGGTCTTAGCTGTAATGACTGCCCGTCACATGGTGCTCTCTTCCCAAAAGTCCTGTATCACATTCCCAGTAGTGAAGCAGAAGCAACAGACTCGTTAAACAGCAGCTGGCAAATGTTCAGAGGCCATGTCAAGTTAACGTCATACAAATACAGAATAGAAGTCATCTCTTCTTTTATCAACTTTTTTCCCTCCATTATTAATCGGTCTGCATCAAGCTACAGCATGAACTGAGGCCTCCTGTGACCTTTGTTAGTGCTCTACCTTGTTCTGTTCTTCACTTCAGTTTAGATGCTGCAGATCTTAATGTGCACGAGTGTGAAACTAAATATAGACCAAATGAAACTGACCTCAAAAGCAAGTTTCCCTGTGACACAGTTACACTGTTACTTTCATGTTTCTATGTCTAAATTTTCTGGTTTTTGTTGTTGTCAGGAATATGAAACAAAGAGTGGCAGAGCTGGATCTGGCAACCCAACATCTCCGAGGCAGAGTGTGAGGAAAAACCTGGATTTTGAGCCTCTCTCCACCACTGCGCTGATACTAGAAGACAGACCTGCGTATGTAAACACAAACGGCGCAGTCACATTTTTCTTTCCCTCTCACTGTCAGCTGAGTTTGCTTATCAGACATAAAAGCCAATCTCCTTCTTCCTCTCATTTCTTATCAGTTCTCCTTCCCCTGCCAGGTCGTTAGGCTCTGTTCTGCATTGTTTCAGCTCTCACTGTTTCCCCGCTTGTATCGCAGATGGTAAAAGAGACGTGCTGCTGAAAGTTTAATGGCCCTCGCTGAGCTTGGTTTCATTACCCTCCCTTTTGTAATTTCTTTAATTTTTTTTAGCATGTTCTAATGTTTTTGCATTCAGCCAGACAGACGTATGCCGGGCGACATCTTTGAGTACTGCTGCTTAGCCGTGAGCTAACTGTATGAAAACATATTCAGACACATTTCCTCTGTGAACACCAGGAAGTTTATTTTGACACCATGAATGGCAGAACTGCATTCAGCTGCTGCTCCCTTTGTGGCATGCAGCCTCTCATGTGTCTGCACACAAGCTCTGAACCTGCAAGAAAAGTGCACATGATGTGTTTTATAACAAATGTGACTAACCATAGCATATATATTTTAACATTTATTTTGCTGTTAACAAAGATTATTTATTTTAGCATTGTTACTAATGTTGTTTTTCACATTGCAATTTAATACGTTTAAATTTAATGCCGTTTGTATTTATGTTTATTGTCACAGTTGATAAGAGTATAACAAATATAGTCTGATGACTTTGGCGCATATGTATATAGCATTTTATACGCTGTTGAAAAAAAATTAAAGGAACACTTTTTAATCGGAGTATAGGATCATGTCACTTTCAGCTGTGCTGGTCGTCTCTCCCTGAGCCTGGTTCTGCTGGAGGTTTCTTCCTGTTAAAAGGGAGTTTTTCTTTCCCACTATCGCCAAGTTGGGGGCTTTTCTGTATGATTGTATCCTCTATCATACATTATAAAGCACGTTGACGCGACTGTTGTTGTGATTTTGTGTTATATGAGTAACGGGGAATTGATCTGCTTGAACTTCGTGAAAGCCGTCCAAATAATGAAAGTTGTATTACACATTGTTAACCATATACACAAAGTTTTGATACGTTTTTTTGCCATGCAGAAGACTCAAAGCAAGATAGTGGAAAGGAAAACAATCTGCACTGTAATGATTGTAAATGTTCCTTTAGTTCATTGGGTTTTTCTTTTCTCAAGGTCCGTTGTAGTACCTGCTGTGGAGTGTTTTCTTTATCAGTTTGACTGTTGTCTTGGAATATAGATGTTTATGTTCCTCCTTTATGTTCTTTCCCTGAGCCTATTCCGAGTCCTTATCCCAAGAATAAACTTTGTTATGAGTAACAAAGTTTATATAAGTATAAGTATATATATTTATATTTCTTCATACATTCTTATATATTTCTATACTGTGTATTGTGTATTTTGTTGTACAGTTATTTTACTTTCAACTATAATTTATATATTTTATCTTATTCCTTCCTAGTTAAATTTACCCTTTTTAATTTTCATATTTATTTCCTATCTTATTCATAGCATTTTCTTTTTTTCTTTAGGTCACGAGCAGTTGTCTAAGCATTTCACTGCATATCGTACTGTGTATGACTGTGTATGTGACAAATAAAATTTGAATTTGAATTTGAATTTGTTGCCAGGGGCTGATATATAAAGTCAAAGGTGTTGAGAAAATTTAAATGCTTATTGATTTTAACCAGCAACTAGCACGACATCAGCCAAGTGATTTAGAAAGACTGGAAAAGATGAAAAAAAAGGGTCATCTAATGTTTGTAGCATGTTAAAGAGGCAGTAAGTTGAATTTACTGGAATATAAGCAGCTGTGTTCACTCCATAAACACATGCAGCTTCCTGTCCTGATGTTCTTTTTATACACTCCAAGATTGCTCAGCATGAGTAATGCAAGAGCACATAGTTGCTAACCGTGTGTGTGTGTGTGTGTTTGCATGTGCAGTAACCTGCCTGCCAAGCCAGCTGAGGAGGCACAGAAACACAGGCAGCAGTATGAAGAGATGGTGGCCCAGGTTAAGAAGAGGGGTGAGTTCAGTGGAGTGAACTGAGGCTGCAGATTCAGCATCAATGTTGCTTTCTTTTTTTTTTCCTCCAGCCTGGCACACTACACAATAGTTCAGACTCTATTTCTGTCCAGTCTGTTGTCCGCTCCTCTCTTTCCCGTGTAATTTTATGTTTAATGATTTCTGCAGAGTTAAAAGAAGCTCAGAGGAGGAAGAAGCAGCTGGAGGATCGATGCAAGCTTGAAGAGAGCATTGGCACAGCAGCTCAGACCTGGAACCAAGAGATCCTGCCTAATTGGAGTACAGTGTGAGTACAAAAAATACTCTGGTTTGAATTATAACATTTAACAATAACAAAGCTCATTGCTTTGCTTC